GGAAAAAATATTTTAAAAAAAGATCTTTACAGGAAAAAACAAACTGCAGAATAGATAAGAATACAGAAAGCTATAATATTAGTAATAAAATAGTGATAGATAGCATAGCTAGGGAAGTAAAGGAGAAAATTTTAACTAGTTAGATCTGAAATTAGTCATAATGAGCTATAGCATCTTTCCTATATTAATTTGTAGTTTACTTTTTAACTACTTAAATATAGGACAAAGGTTACTATAGCAGATCATATATAGGTATCTATAGGATAACTAAATAAGTTAGAGCTTAAAAAATTAGATATTAGATAGTATATAAGTATTTTACAAATAAGTTATAGATATAGTAGTATTACAGATAATATAGTCTTCTTAGTATACTATAAGTAATAGTAACATAGCTATCTAATTACTTTAAAAAGTGATATTCAAGAGGGAAGTTTCTTTAACTAATTGTAAAGATAAGTTTTACTCTACAAGAAGTAGTTCATTTAGATTTATTTAATAACAAGATATTTATTAATTATAAATATTTAAAGTTAAGTATAAAAAGGAAGAAAAGTTGAGGTCTAAACAACTAAAAGGCAAGAGAAAGAATTCTACTTATATTTATAACTTTTAGCAAGTATTATATAAGTGTCAGTAAAGCATTATATAAGTGATTTATGCAAGTGCTATTTAAGCTTTTGTACAAGCAACAGTTAAGTATTACTATTAATAGTTTAATACAGTAAGAGGCACAGTACTTAGCATAGTTTAACACAGTCTAGCATAATCTTTTAGTATAGTCCAGTATAGTATTAGCATAGTATTTAGTGTAGTTTTAGTATAGTTCTTAGCAAAATATTCAGTACAGTTTAATACAGTGTTTAGCATAGTTCAGCATAGCTTTAGCACAATATTTTTTTACTATAATCTATGTTTTCTCTAGATATTATATAATAACTTTAGATATAACTTATATTATCATGTAACAAATATTCTTAGCTACAAAGTTACTTAAAGTATTTTTCACTATAAATACTTCTTGAGAAACTTCATTTAGAAGTAAATATTTACAATAATTTTCTTTACTTTAAAATATTTATATTAAAATAATATAATATAAGAAATAACTAAATACTAATAAATATAACTAATAATATAACTAAATATAATAATAATAAAAATAACTAAAAATCTATTCTATAATAGTAGTATAATATAGAACTAATTAGATAGCCTAATATCTGTATAGCAAACTACTTAAAATAAACTATAATTAAAGTTGTATATATAGCCTGTTATATACTCTTTATGTGATTACAAATAGTATAGATTATCAATATATAATCTTGTTTGCAATTCTAATAAAATTCTTTTGGGTCTAGTAATCTTAGTATAGTGATTAGATTGCTAGACTGCTATATAAGAGGTTTGGAGTTTAAATCCTACTGTCTATGAATTTGAATAATTACTTAGATATTTGTATTTAACTTATAATAAACTCTATTTATTTCTAAAGTTGTAACTCTGTAAATCTCATTACACCAATATCATCTAGATATTAGAAGTGCAATATAATATTATATGAATAAATCTTAATAGAATATATGAGTAAAGGACCTACATAGTAAAAACTTCAAGTTGGTAAAGTAATACAACTTTCAATAGTTATACTAGCTAATACTTAATTTAAATAAAAATTGTTACTCAAAAGATATAAATTGAGTTAAGTACAAGTAAGACTGTTTTATAAGAAGAATTAGCAATACTAACTTGACTTGGTGACTAACTAGATTTAAGAAAATTTATCTTATAAAATATTTAGAAAGATTAGTAAACAATATTAGTAGTAAGCTATAGTAGGAACTAAGATCATATAAATATTATAAGAGTCTAAGCTAGGTAAATTTGTGAAATAGGTACAAACTGTTCTAGTAAATATACTTACAAAGTTAACTAGAACTCTGTATGCTTACAATATGTTGAGCAATATATATCCTAAGAGGATCTAAGCTAAATTAGGTAAATAGATCTGTAATAAGCTAGCTAGCTTAAGCGATTAGATATTATAATGATATTAGTTAATTCTAATATAGGTTAGTTAAACAGAATATTTAAATAAATAACTTATAAGCAGGTTACAGATATAATAGCTTGTGTAGAACCAAACAAAAGATCTACCTATATAGCGAACTACTTAAATTAGATAATGACTAAAATTATATATGTAGCAAGTTATATACTCTTTATGTAATTACAAACTATAAGAGATTGTTAATAGATGATCTTATATATTAACTAATAAAGGTCTAATGACCTAGTATAGTGGTCAATTTGTCAAACTACAATACAATAGGTCTGGAATTCAAATCCTACTGTCAACGAATTTGAATAATATCTAGACCTATGTATCAAACTTATAGAAAACTCTGCTCATTCCTGAAAAGGGAGTTCTGGAAAATATGATAAAACTCTATAAAAAATAGCATTGCATCAAGTTAATTAGATATTGGAAGTATGACAATAACATTATATGAATAAATTTATATTAGATATACAAGCAGAAGATCTGCATAGTAGAAATCCCAAGTTAGTAAAGTAGTATAACCTTTAACTGTCACACTGGCTAACACTTGATCTAAAAAGAAACTATTTCAAAGAATGTAGATCTGAATAGGTATGAGTAAGTCTATATCCATAGTAAAGATTGAAAGCACCAACTTAGCTTAGCAGCTAACTAGATTTAGAAGGATCTATTTTATAAAATATCTAGAGAAATCGATTAATACAAAACTAGTGAAGAGCTACAGTAGGAACTGGAATTGTATGAATATCTACAAGGGTCTAAGCTAGGTGAGTTCATGAAATAGGTACAAGTCACTCTAGTAGGTTTGCTTTGAGATTAACTGAAACTCTGCAAAACTCACAATATGTTGAGTACAAATATCTTAAGAGGACCTAAGCTGAAGTCGATAAATAAATTTGCAACAAACTAGCTAGCTTAAGTGGTTAGATGTTATAGTAATGTTAGTTTGTAATGGTATGAGTTAGTTGAACAAAGTGTTTAAATAAGTAACTCACAGATGGGTTACAGGTATGGTAGCATAGTGTAGTACTAATGCCTACATAGTGGACTACTTAAATTAGATAATAACTAAAGTTGTACATGTAGCTTGTTATACACTCTTCATGTAATTACAAACTGTAGAGGAACCTTATGCGAAACCTTATATATCAAACTAATAAAATTCACTCAGCAATATAAGCCATTTTAAAAATAAAAAAAAATAAAAATAAAAAAAAATATATATATATTAACTAATAAAATCTGCTCAGCAAAGTAAACTACCTTAATAACAAAAAAAAAAATAAAAATAAAATTCTTTTGACAATATAAACTACCTTTAACATAGAAAAAAAAAAATTTTTAAAAATAAATTTTTCTTACTAATTTTCTTTCTTAAATATTTATATCTTATTAAATTAAACTAAACATATTTATGAATTTTTAAACTAAACTTGAACTAAATTTGAACTAACTCTTAAAATTCAATATTGAACTAAACTTAAATAATATTTTAAAAAATATTCAAGTTTAGTTTAGTTTAGTTTAGTTTTTAAACTAAATCTAAACTTCAATTCAGTTTATAAGAACTCTAAATATAGTTTTATAAAATTAACAGTTAGATTTTTTAAAAACTTCTAGTATAAAAAGTTATAATGATTTGAAAAATTAAAACAATTCATATAACTGTTAAATATAAACTATTTGAATCATACTATATGTATCTATAATACTTACTAGCTAAATAATTTAATTCTGTTAGATAATTATCTTTATAATCAGCTATATAAAATAATTGAAGAGAATTAAACATATAGTAAATAATTTTACTAGATAATTTAAAAATTAGAAGCTTTTTTTTTTTTTTTTTTTTAAAAAAAAAAAAACCATTAAATTAACTATATACTATATAAAAAAATTAGATTTGCCCCCAATTACGAAAGAATAAACAACGATCTAATATCGTACATATTATATTGCATATAATTTAAAAAGCAATCAGAAAAATAAGCAAGCTGAGTTAAACAGTTAATACGATTAAAAAGATTCTAGGTAGAGTTCCGATCCATTATTCGTTTATCCATTTATCTATCGGATATCCAGATCTGAATTTATTCGGGTATCCGTTTTACTATTAATATCTGGATAATTATCCGAATATTTGTCGGATTATCCGGATACGTACCAATAGTAAATGGATATCTGGATAAATTCAGATATGGATAAATGAATGGCGGAGTTATCCGGATTGGAACTCTAATTCTAGGCGGTTCCAAATCCATATAATCCATAATCATTAAATCTTTGAATTAGCTTAGAGTTTCAATCCATAATCCATTTATCCATTTATCTATCGGATATCCAAATCCAAATTTATCTGGATATCCATTTACTATTAATATTCGGATAATTATCCGGATATCTGTCGGATTATCCAGATATCAATAGTAAATGGATGACAGATTTATCTCTAAATTAGTTGCATACATAATTTGCTAGTGACGCAAGAAACAGATTTAAATAAATAAATAATTGGATGACCGACAATTAAAAACAGCCCATTTTTACAATTTTTCAAAAAAAAAAAAAAAAACGAGTTTTTATTAGATTCATGTAAATTTTGACATGATAAACATTTTTTAATTATAAATTTATAATGTAAAAGAAAAATTACACGAGGCTGCGCAGGGCATTTTAAAGGGTTAACGCTATTAAGAATTTAGTTAAGAATTTAGCATATAAAAAGGGTTGGTTTTTAAATTAACAAAAGTATTAGAATATGTTACTGTACGTATTGTCTTTTTGTAAGAATGAAACACAAATCGATGATTACAATAAAAATTGTATCGCAAGAATAAACAAATAAAATAAATAAATAGTGGGGGGGTTTTTTTTTTTTTTTTTTTACCACTTAATAATTATAATAGATTTTAATAAAAATAGACACCGAAAGCCATTACTACACAAATAAGTGTGTCCTAATTATGAAATATTAAATTAATAATTTAAATAAAATCAAAAATAATAAAATAAAATAAATAGAATATTCTTACATTTTTAAAGGTTTCTTGAGCGTAACTATCAGTATCAGTATCCCATAAACCATTAATTTGCATTCTAAAAAAGTAAATATTATATTATTTTAAAAAACAATAAAATCTATTTAAACTAAAAAAAGTTTTCAATTTTAATTACCTAGCTCCAACTCCTTTATTTTCTAATATAGTAACATTAACAATATATTTATATCTACTAAGATCTAAACCTAATTATTTTATGAATTAAAAAATTTGGAATTAGATTCGCTGAATATTTTAATTATAAATATTATATAAAAAAATATGAAAAAATTGCAACCTAATAACTTTGATTTTACTGCTTCAGCTATTTCGTGAGCCCACCCAGGAGCTTGATCTTTATCATAAATAGCCTTATCTAATCTTTCTTTAAGAATATCTTGAATTGTTTTCTTTACCAAACCTGCACGAAACCTAATTTAATTTAATAAACAGTTAACTTTTTTAGATTAAAAATATTGTTGTAGAGTACAAGGAACTAAAGATCGTAAAACTTTTACGTTCAATCGATTAAATCAACTCACAATAAAAATATTATGAGATACATACTTTCGCATATAAGTTGGTCTGAAAGTTACATCAGAGTCTGAATCACGACGTTCATGCCCTCCTGCTAAGGTATGAATTTTTTCGGGATAATACGAATGAACGTCGTTGTAACTCATTTTGATTGTTAAACTTTGTTTCCCAATAAAAATTTATCATATTCATTTATATTGTTTTTCTGTTACACAAGACATACAGGGTAAAGAAGTAAATTTGACCTGTGCTCAAATCATTAATTATGAATTTATAAAAAAAGAAATTTCCTGCATGATTATGAAATCTATATTATTATTATTATCGTCTTTAATACTTTTACAAATATTATTTTAAAATTAACATCCCCCTCCCTCTTCCTTGACAAAAAAAAAAAAAAAAAAAAAAAAAGTATTAATAGAATAATATGATAATTAATTAAGTATTAAAATGACGACAAAGTAATTATGTTGAAACTTAATTACAAAATCAATTATTAACACTCGCTTTTTCCTTTAAATCAAATATGATAAAATTGATGTAAAAAAAAAGAAACACTATGAAAAAACTAGTTTAAATAACAAAAAAAAAAAAAAAAAAATTTTTGTACAATATCCAATGTAAAAACTATTAAAAATGAAATTTGTTATGAAAAATAAAGTTCTTATTTGTATATTAGCCGAATTCATGTAATATTCTATTCTATTAAATTGGTTAATCTTTGTTGCCTTGAATAATGTTTACTAACCTAATAATGAACGCATAAATAATTAGTAAAGTTAATATAAGTGTTTTGACGAAAGCATTGAAAGTGAAAGTTTACCAATCTAGACCCTCCGTTAGTCCATCACCTTTTACAGCACTTGTTTTATAGATACTCCATTGCCGATTTTTCAACGTACTCAACCCTAAAGCGTCGGATACTTCAGCTGAAGTCATTGCACCAACCATATCTTGCTTATTAGCAAAGACTAATAATGCAGCATCCCGTAATTCTTCTTCATCAAGCATTGCATGAAGTTCCTCTTTTGAGGTACTCATACGGTCACGGTCTATAGAATCTACTACGTATATAACTGCATCTGTATTTGCATAATAACAACGCCAATAAGGTCTTGAAGAATATTAAAAACACATTAATATATATATATATGAATCGAAAAATTGACACCAATATAAAAAAATATATATATTTTTATACCTTATACTTGTTTGACCTGAATTAGTCAATGTGGATGCAAATGCAGTTGGCATAAAGATAAAATATCAAAATAAGTATTTTTTTTTTTTTTTAAAAAAAAAAAAAAAAATGATAATAAAGATTATCAACGAATGATGATTCTAACCTCCTAAATCCCATACTATATATAATAGAGACTTAATTTAGTGTGGTAAAATTCAAACATGAACACTATATAAACTATATACTAATCTAATAATTCACCTTGAAATTTAATATTTTTATATGTTACAGTTTCAACATTAAAACCAATAGCTATAAAGATAACGATCAAATACAATCAAATTAGTTTATTATAGAAGAAAATGAATGAATAAGTTGTTTAGTTATAAACGTACTTGGAATAGTTGTTACCACCTCACCGATCTGATAAAATAAAAATATCAATCAAATTTAATAAGTTTTTTTTGATCACAAGTTAACTAGAGTATAAAAGAATTCTTATCCGAGTAAACTTGATCTAGATAACGTGAAAATATAAACAAATGGATAAAAATTCATACCTGTAATTGATACAATATTGTTGTTTTACCGGCTCCGTCCAAGCCTAAAATGAGTATTCGTACTTCTTTTTCACCCCACAACCGTCCTAACAGTCTACTAATATATCCACCTGTTTAAAAAAAAGTCAATAAAGTGAATTGTTACTTTTAAATTTATTGATGAGCTTTGATTCTATGAATTCAACTCTCGAAGAAAACAAAAAAAAAAAAAGTTAAAATCAGGCTTACCCATTTTTTTTTTTTAACTTTTAGGACGGATGCCGACAAAAATGAAGTAAGCTCTATATGTATGTTGTTGATTCACAAATATCTATAAAAATTGTTTTTTTTAAAGTGAACCAACGGAATGAAGTAATGAAATGCAGTAAATAGTAAGATTGAAAAAAAAAAAAAAAAAATATTATTAAATATTAAATACGTAGCAAATTGGGGGCTTTTTTATATATAACTGGAATTAAAAAAGATTACTACCGGAATTTTTTATAAAGTAGATCAAACAGTGCAACCAACCAAAAACTGTTTGCATAACTGTAATGTCCACGTTTATAAATTATGAAACAAAGCCATAGGCATAATTATGGCATAATTATGGCTGATTTAATGTATATGATTACAAAGACTTTCTCAAAGGTGATGAAGTGAAAGACAATGATAAGAAATAATTGATCAGATAATAACGAAGCAAAAAATGTAATATTGACACAATAAAAACCCGATATTATAGTCATAACGCGATTATTTTAATTTTATTGATTGATTCTGAAGCAGGTTATTAATTATTATATATACATTTCTTATAAATTAATAATGAAGCATTGCTTTATATTGCAAAATGTCAGTATAATTTAATAGAATAGAAATTTAAAAAAAGTACGACAAGTTTGGTTTTTACAAGCGTACAGTAAAGATTGAGTAATACTACAATCGAGAGAATTAATCGTCATCTGAATTCGCAATTTTTTTTTTTGTTACATAGGAGACCTAGCGGGAATTCCCGTGATGTAGGTTCAAATTTTAACATTCAGATTGACACTATACAGACAACTTAAAAAATGAAATAAAGTTAAATAGAGCTTTTGGAAATTTTGAATATTTTCCTCTATTCTCTTCATAATTTTCTCTCAAATTTGAAAGTATCAAAAAAAAAAAAAAAAAAAAATTTAATTGGAAAAGAAATAAAAAAAAAAATCCTATTCAAAATAAAATATCAACCCTTGATCCAAAACCCACGCGTGGCATGATTTGGTATAATCTTTAAATAATATCAAATACGAGGAGAGGGAAAGATAGAACTAACACCAAAATATAATAATAAAGACGTACAAAAATTACCCCTTCTCGTATAAGCCATATGTGTTTTTTTTTTTTTTTTTTTTTTTTTTTTTTTTTTTTTTTTTTTTTTTGAGACTAGATGTTAACTATTAAAATTTTTTTTTTTACTAAACCTTTTAGTTTTTTATATTTTTTTTTTTTTT